ATTAGTGTATAAGAAGATTTTGAGTTATGAAGAAAATAAAAGGATGAAGTTTAAAGAATTAGATGTGATAAAGATTATGTTGAGATATAGATTATAAGTTTAACCAGAAGTAAGAAAGGTATGTCAGGTAATATGAGAAATTGTTTAGTTATGCAAAGTGTATGTTTAATCAGTTATGAGGAAGATTTAAGGTTATGTTTCTTGGTCAAGTGGATGTAGTCAGAGAAATGAATAAAGATTTATATGTATTAAGGAAGTTTTGGAGTCAGTCAAGTAAGGATGAAATAAAAGTTTTGTGATTCTTGAAAGACAATTGAAGATTGACAAGGAATTTGATTGATTTATGAGTTTGAGTAATAAGAATTAATGTTATTGTCTATCTTATAAGTGACATGATAGGAGATATAAAGTAAAAAGGTAGTCGAATAATTGAAAATATAAGAACCAAGTTATTAAAGATGATACAAAAGATTAAGTTCAGAAAGCAGCATAAGAACGTTAGAAGATATGTTCTTCTCAGGATGTGCAGTGAAAATTCGAGGACGAATTTTTTTAAAAGGAGGGGAGATTTGTAACATCCCAAATTATGGGTTAGTGACCAAATTGTAAAGTTTCAGAATTTGATGATTAAAGTAGAAGAATGAAATAGTTCAATGATTATTGGATATATATGATGAAGGTTATTTAGTAATTATTAAAGGAAATAAAGGTCAATTGACCAAGAAATGAATTAAAATGGGAATGGTAAGGATAAATACACGTGGAAAGGGAGAGAATTCTCTAGAGTGCTCTTTTCTTCTTTTTCTTTACGTGGAAGCCAAGAGCAAAGGTAAGTTTGATTTAGCTTTTGATTTCTTGAAAGTTTTAAGTTGGATTTGAGTCTTTGAGGGTTATATAAGCTTAAGGAAAGCTTATATAAGTTTAAAACACCAAAGAGAGAGAATTAGAAAGGAATTTCTATTAAGGGTTTATAAATGAACTTTTGTTATAGAAAGGTTTTTGAAGTTCTAAAGTTGGATTTGACTTGTCAAGGGTCCAATTAAGAAGTTAGAAGCAATTGAATGGAATTTGGAACATGTTAGAAATTGAGTATGATTCTTGAATTTCCATATGAAAGATGAAATTTAGAGGTTAAAGATGAGATAAATGAATATTAATGAGTTTAAGTATGTATATGAAAGTTAGGAATATGAAAGGGGTTGAAATATGAAGGATTTAATCCAAAAAGAAGGAATTTTCGGGTTCAAAAAGAGGTTACGGGCAGAGTGCATCGATTCATATTCATAGTGCATCGATGCATCAATGTTAAAACCCAAAAATTGTTTGAAGGTGTATTGATGCATTGGTAGTGCATCGATGCACTCTTTTTAAAATAGAAACATCGAATGCAATTAGTACATCGATGCATAAGGCATGCATCGATGCACCCCAATAATAATACAACATCGAATGTATTTTATGCATCGATGCATACCCTTATTGAAAGAAGAAATTGACATTTATCTTAATCTAAAGAGTGAACCATTAGAGTATATTAGTTATAATACTAATATAGATCTATGTATGATTATGTAGATATAGAACGTGATCCCGTTCTAAATCAATTGAAGGATTAGAATCGAATCAAAGCAAAGCTAAGGTGAGTGCACATTATTTAGTATATGATGTTAAATGGAAAATAAGACTTATGATAAGTCTATTTCCAATAGTAAAATGCATGAATTCATAAAGGTATGTGTTTGTTATGATGCTTATGTGTGTATGAGTACATGATTACATGTATATGTGATATGTGATATTGAACTATATGAAATTATAATATATGAGAATACATGCCTATGTGACAAGCTATGTGAAACTGAATTAAATAAATACATGAGATTCATAAATATATGTTTATAAGATATATGATATGAAATACATGGTTACACATACATGTGGTATGTGACAGAAGAGAAAGAACAAGTGATGAGAAATGTATTCATAATGATAATGCCCATGTTATGTAATATGAGAGCTAGTGGTATAGTTGGCATGCCAAGAGTCGAGGGTTTACTTATGTTCTACGGAACATATGGACATAATTACCTATATCTTTCGGGATATATGGATAGTATACCTATGTTCTAAGGAACATAGGGACAGTATACCTAGGTTCTTCGGGACCTATGGACAGTTGCCGAGGATCTTTATGACCTCTGGATAGTTACCGATGATCTTTATGACCTCTGGATAGTTACCGAGGATCTTTATGACCTCTGGATAGGTCCTTCGGGACATATATGTATTCTTTGGAATATGTGTGAAGTCTGGTGAGACACATACTTGATCCTTGGCATATGTATATGATTCTTAAGGAATGATATGTGGTCCTTCGGGACAATTGATCGAGCTGTGGTGACAGCATATGTGTGCACAACCTCAATGTACTCACATACCTTAAGTTCTCACTAGTGTACATGGGCTAATAAAGAGATTAAACAAACATATTGAATGTGATATGTATACGATGGGTTTATAAATGGTTATCAAAAGTAAGTGGTTTGAAATGTGTTACATGAACCATATGATGTTATATGTGTTTCTTAATGATAATGATAGAGATTATGATAATGATGGTATATGTTTATGTATGCTTTATGTTATATGAAATATTATATGTTTTATATACCTCACTAAGTCATCGACTTAGCGTGTGATTGTTTCACACGTAGGTTTGGAAAGCGAAAAGAGAAGTAAAGAGGAACAAGGCATGTCAGTTCTCCTTACCGAATGTCAGATCAGAAGAGAGGTGAATAATATGTATATATTTTTTTATATAAAGTTCTAGTTGGCATGTAATCAAAAGAATATATTGAATAAGCTCTGAATAGTTTTGTAAATGTTTTAAATAAGTTAAATGTTATAAAAGTTTTTAAAATTACTCACTATTTTATACGAATAAAGGTTTGAAAAGTCAATGCGACACTTCGGACTCGTATCCGGGTTGAATACGGGTTAGGGGTGTTACATGTATAATCCGGGTCGGTCAAGAGTTAAAGCTTAGAAGAAGAAAAAATAAGAATATATCGTGGGAAGCGTACCAGTTTTTGTGGGAAGAAGTTCAAGGGATGAAAATACGTTGGATAAAGGCAACGAATTTTGTCCACGATTAAACAATTTAATTTCGACAAGAAAGCAAAACACTATTCTTGCCTATCTTTATTCGTTTTGCGTCTCTGATTATATTCCCAGGTTGAGAGGGCTTGATCTGGATGGTCATGTGAAAGTTATGAAGGAAGCTCTAGCGATTGTTGGAAAATACCATGATCCCATAATCGATGAGAGAATTCAACAATGGCGAAATGGTGAGAAGGACGACAATGACGACTTGCTTGATTTCTTTGAAAGATGCCAAGGACAACTCGTTGCTCACAGTGGATGAGATCAAGGCTCAAATTACTGTAAGCTAGCTTTCTCTCAATATTATCCCTCCTTCGCATGCACAAACTTTTAAGGTTAACTTGAGTTTTACAGGAATTCATGATTGCAACGGTGGATAATCCGTCGAACGCTGTGGAACGGGCACTAGCTGAGATGCTGAACCAGCCAGAGATACTTGAGAAAGCGACGGTGGAAATAGATAGGGTTGTTGGAAGGGAGAGACTAGTGGAAGAAAATGATTTCCACAAACTCAACTTTGTCAAGGCATGCGCCAGAGAAGCCTTTAGGCTCCATCCAATTGCACCCTTCAATGTTCGTCACGTGTCCCTGGAGGATGCAACCGTTGCTGACTACTTCATCCCCAAAGGTAGTCATGACTCATGTGTGCTTCTCAGCGGCACCGCTCTGGGTCGGAATCCTAAGGTTTGGGAAGAGCCACTCAAGTTCAAGCCGAAGCGGCACTTCAAGGAGGATGATGGGTTTTCACTGATGCTGACTGAGTCAGACATGTGCTTCATCTCCTTCAGCACTGGCGTTCGTGGGTGCAAGGGCGTCTTGCTCGGGACTACCATGACCGTCATGGTATTTGCAAGGATGCTGCAGTGCTTCAGTTGGAGCATCCTGCCAACTAATGGGCCAACCGTCGATCTGATCGAGGCCGAGGATAATCTGTTTCTTGCGAACCCGCTGGTTGCAGTTGCAAAGCCCAGGCTTCCCACTAATGTGTATCCCGTCCAGCTCACTTAGTCCCCTGTATCAAAGCTCGCTTAATTAGTTAGTCTAAAGCTTTAAATAATCAAGACCATCGGAACAATATATATATATAGTATATGCGTGTATATCAGTACCAAAGCATGCAATGTGCACTGAAATGTACCATATATACTGCACTGCTTCCAACTATGTTATGCTTTTACTAATATATGTATGTAAAAAAGGGATGAGTTGACGTCCTCATCAGTTTTAGTTACTAAGCTTTTTGTTTTACTTGGTTGCTGAACCTTTTTAGATATTCAGGATGTCAGTTACATCTACTCGAAACAAAAGAACAAAATGACACAAAGTTGCAAGACATATAAAAAAAAAGACCACAAATACCATGGACTCCTTGCTCCTAGTTTCGCAAGCTCATCAGCTTCTGCGTTGATGGCTCTAGAGATGTCTGCATCATTTAAACCTGCAGTTTAATTTCTTATGAAGGAACTGACTCCTTGGTCCTTTTCGACGCACCATTTCCATTAAAAATTTATCGTTTGATTTCTTATGAATTGGCTGCAGATTTCACTTTTGACTTTGAATGCAATGTAAAAGTCAAAGTGTTGTAATGCTAAACGGACGATGATGCCGACATTGATGGGTTCATTTTTAAGGTGGATTTTAATTTGCTGCTTGGAAAAGTCCAAGTCAATGCAACGTAGCATAATGATAATAATACCTCGACACCTGATAGCCCAATAAGTAAGTATTGTTGTTTGTGGGAATGGGCCTTTGGGCCATTACAGGCTGTATGAGAGCAAGTATAAGTCTATATCATTACACTATAAATTGGATTCGCTGAAATTTGGTGGACGGGGAAAGTTGACCTGGTTGGCTAGAAAAGAGTGAGAAGAGGTTTAATCAAAGGGGAACAGGAAAAGAAAATTCATTTTGGCCTCTAGGCACTGGGAATGGAAAGATAGGTTTGGGACTGGAGAGATTGAAGCTAGCAGGAACGAAAACTTGCAGTAGAGGTTGATGGATTGAGCAAATAAATAGGAACAAGGATTAGGAAGGAGATGGCTTACAGGAGGAGGCAGCAGCAGCAGCAGGAAATATTACCTTCATCGCCGTCAGCGGATGATTTGATAAACGTTGAAGTGGATACAGCTAAGGCCATAAGGGCATCTTCCGCCCGCAAAGGTTATTCTCTCTCCGCCGCTTACGGCTATGGTTCTCTTCATTCATCATCTGCTCCTCTCTCCCCGCCCACTTCCACCGTCACATCCAAGGTTCTTTTAACCCTTCTGTTCGATCTACATTATTTTTTTTCTGTGTGCTGATTACAGTCTTTTTCCTCCTGAAAATCCAAACTTTTCTAACGGAACTGGTTTTTGACTCCAGGACTCCCAATTTCATCAATATGCCTCATTGGGAAATTTAGATGAATCCAAGCAAGGGTTTTGGGGTTCTCTCGCTAGGAAAGCTAAAGCCTTTTTAGATGACGATCCTGAGCACCACCAATTTGAGTCAGGCGGACAATCTAAATCTGAAATACATCAAGGGCCAACCCCTGAGAAGGTCAGAGTCCAACATTGTGCTCTTGGTCAACTCATTACTATATACCAATAAGCAGCTGCGGCTTCATGATACACTTCATTTCCTTTTCCATTCCAAGCTCTTGCGGTTATTTTGTTTTGGATTTTCTTTTTTCCTGACATAATCACTTGTTCAAGTGTGCCAGCATGGATGTAAATGCTTCTTTACTCGTTCATTTTGGAGTTTTGGTCCTACCTATATTTGAGTATTTGTTTCCACTCTTTGCCATCTGCAGTACGGTAATGTATACCAATCACACGATAGGCATCACAAAACAGACAATCCCACTTTGAAGAAGGGCATAGGTGCAATTGCCTCATCCATAAGTTACATTGGTAAATCTGTAGAGGTCAGTTCATCAATTCTTTTGCTGGTAATAAATATACAATTGTTCCTAGTATCAGTTAGCTTGATTTTATATTTTGTTTGTTGATAATTAGCTAGGGAAAAGAGAAAAAAGAATGGACACTTTTGATTTATTTAAACTATTTCATGCCGTTTATAATTTTCTTGGTAGCCTAATGTTTACCACATGTCAATCTATATGTCATACCGCTATCATGCCTCTCTCGTACTCCTTGAAATCGTTACAAACCTATAGTTATTCTTTCTTCTTCGATTTGCATTCAGGAGGGTCTTACTGTTGTGGAGAATAGGACAGCAGGCATCATTCAAGAGACCCGCAAGCATATCAGGAAAAAGCCTAGTGGTTCTATGGCACCAAATCAGGCTTCTAAGCAACCACAAATGCAGCACCAAGAACGAACATCTGTTCAAGCTGATACAGAAATTCAATTGAAGGCATCTCGCGACGTAAGGTGGCCGCTTTGTGTCACTGGTTCATAAGTTGGATATATTTTTCTGTGTGCAATTCATAACCTGTGGTTTTCTTGCTCTAGAAGCCTCATTTCAGATTTTCTTTTAGCAATATAAAAGTGAATTGTTTAGAACATGCTAAAAATTTAAGATTGTTTTTCTTCTTTATTTCTTATTTTTGATGTCACTCTCTGTTAACGATGTCTTGAAACCTTTTCTGAAAAGCTGTTTATAAGTTCAGTGGCATTTATTTTGGAGCATGACAATATAAAATCAAACAGTATTCATCATGTGGAAGACAGGTTTTATAGGAGATATGAAACCAATTGCATAGATCTCTTCTTCATTATTTTAATTTTTTATGTTATAACTTTCGTGCGAAATTGGATGCATGATTTTCTCTTTAACTTTTTAACAGGTTGCTATGGCTATGGCTGCCAAGGCAAAGCTTCTTCTCCGAGAGCTAAAAACTGTCAAAGCTGATTTGGCTTTTGCCAAGGAGAGATGCGCTCAGCTGGAGGAAGAAAATAAAATCCTTCGCGAGAATCATGAAAGAGGAGATAACCCAGATGATGATGACTTGGTATGCAGTTTCATCATTTTATCTTTTATTATATTTTACTCATCTGAAGGATCCGGATGTCTTTTTTGTTTGCAATAGGGATCATATTTACTCATTGGAAGGACCAATTACCCGAACATTTTTGAACCAGTGCATTTTTAACATCTTACTACTAATTTGTTTAAAATTTGTAAGAAATTAACTGTACATAATATCATAATATTCCTTCTATTGTTAAACTTATACCATTTTTTGAACCAAAATAAAGAAAAACTGCTGCTAAAACCGCACTTAATTTTCTGTAATAATAAGATGTCTCAAATGATTGGAGCTGATGCATGTAGCATTTTTCTACCTCCCACTGGATGAAGGGAATGTATACTAGGAGCAGAAGTGAATGATAGCCTAATCAGAGCTTCCTGTAGTTTACAATGTTACATAATGTCCTGATGTGCCTCATTATCTATGTAGCCAGAATCCCTTCTATGAAAAAGAAAACCATCACCAGCATAGTGGCTCATTATGCAGCCCAAATTTAAGCACTCAAATTATGTAAACATGATCAGATTTTCTAGCTTTTATTCCACTCGTAACATAAAGGTGATCTTTAATTTCCGGTGTGGATTGAAAGTGATGAGGGAAGTAATTAAGTTTTTGACATGTAAACCATTCCAAAATTTTGATAAAGAAATATTTCCATTTTCAGATTCGTCTTCAACTTGAGACACTGCTAGCAGAGAAGGCACGACTGGCTCATGAGAATTCCATTTATGCACGTGAGAATCGCTTCCTAAGGGAAGTTGTTGAATACCACCAACTCACCATGCAGGATGTTGTATATCTGGATGAGAACACTGAAGAAGTTACCGAAGTTTACCCTATCAAGGCACCTTCATTACCAAATATGAACTTCAGGCCTGCTGCATCTGGTACACTAACATCTGAGGCATCTCTTGACACTAGTCTGCAAATAGCTCAGAATATCCCAGTTCACCCTGTGCCACCCCCTGAGTTTGCTGAGGCTTCCCAAAATTCTGTGTCCAAGCTCTCTAGATCAACTTTAGATGGCAGAGGATGACGAGTATGTATCATACTTTCTATATTGGCTCAATTCGCATTTAGTATACATACATACTTATATATTTCTTATGAAGAATTGAGATGTTAAAAATAGTCTTCAGTTCACCATTCCAATTTATTATGACTCGTTTATTTATTTGGTGGAACCAAGATATCCTCCATGTCCGTTTTCGGTATATGAAGACTAATCCATCGGGCTGTGGGGGTTGTCTCTCCCAACAATGTCATCCCTACAGTTCTATCATGAGTTCTCTTTCTGGCAAGGCATTCTCTTGTTTTTCGAAATGTTTAATTGGCGTCTCTCCCCTTCTCCATTTGAATTGATAAATCGATGGTGTATTGCTGAAGGACATTGTATTTTCTGCAGTACTAAGAACAAACTGAACTTATTCTTACGTTGAATAGTCAGGTTTGAAATATATGTTTTCTTTGTTTCTTTGAAAATTTTGTTTTGTTTCTACTGCTCAAAGTACATTAGCATTCTCATTTTTATTGATGAATGAAGGCCAAACATCATTACCATCAACTGTCTATGGCAACAGGACCAATGCTATGACGTAATTAGTTTAGTAGGTTGATGAATTGCTGAGCCCATGCACATAGCTATGTTTTTAACACAAATCCTTTGTTACACAAAACCAGAAATGCAGCTGACATTTGTTAATGAGGTTATTGAAAGATTATGTTGAATATATGGTGTTTGGTTTCGTAACAAATGACAGATTTTTTGAACAACGGCAATTCTGATTAGTTGATCCATTGGGAATTAATTTTGAAAATTAATTTTGGGTTGTTTTTTTTTTTTAATTGAATGTTCGGAATTGTTGTCTAGAAATGCTTTTAAGTAGATAAAATGTCTGATTTAGACTTTATATTTAAAAATATAAAAGAATTAGTGATCTAAACGAGGACAAATTAGTACATGTTTGGCATTGCATTTAGTCTAAAAACGCTTCAAATCACTTTTGAAATATGTTTGTTTGATATCATCTCATCCTAGGTAAGTATTCTCTTGATAAAAAAGAAGAGTAAGGTAAGCTGTATTCTAACGGTAGGGGTAGAGGTGCACAAAAAATCCGAATATCCGATTTTGTCTAAAAAATATCCGAAACCGGATTTTGGAAAAACCGGTTTTTTTAAACCGGATCGGATATTTAAAAATCGGATAGTATAACCGGTTTGGGAAAAAATTGAACGACCGGTTTTTTTACCGGATTAAAAACCGGTTTTTTTCAAACCGGATAAAAAACTGGTTTTTTATCCGGAAAAAATCCATTTTTTTAAAAAAAACTGAATTTTTATCCGAAAAAATCCGGTTTTTTTAAAAACCGAAACCGGTTACACCATCCAGCCCTCCAAACCGGTTAAAATCCGATCCGGTTTTTTTAAAATCCGGTTTTTGGATTGGGGGAAAAAACCGGATCGGTTTTTATCCGATCCGGATTGGATTGAAATCCGGCTTCTGTGCATCTCTAGGTAGGGGTGTTTATGGATTGTTAACCGTACCGTTTAGTTGTTATAACAGTTATGAGATTTTTCTAACCGTAACCTAACTATTAAAGAATGGTTAATCGCTAACGGTTAATTTTATTAACAATTTGGTTATAGATTAATTTACGGTTAATCTATTATAATTATTTTTCAAAAAAAATTCATAATTCATAATACAAAGAAAGTGTAGCACTTAACACATACTTACACTGATGTAAGTGAATAAAATAAACAAGTATAACATTTAGCAGTTAACACATGTGAACACCGATGTGAGATAATAAAATAAAAAAGTATAACACTTAACGCATACTTACACCAGTGTAAGTGAATAAAATAAAAAAGTGTAGCACTTAATACGTACTTACACCGTGTAAGTATGTACATCTCGCAATAACTTAGTACTTAACAATAAACACATAATTAAATTTTCTCTGAAAAATCCTAGTTTTCTCTCATTGGTGTGTCGTTCATCTCTTTTCTTTTTCATCTTTGTTGATCGACAGTGGCACTAACTTTTAATGTTGGTTGCCGACTGTTGGTATTCTTTATTGTCTTTTTCTTTTCTATATTATATCTTTATTTTCTTTTGTTTTTTATTTTCAATAAGTTTGCTTGTGTTGCAAGTTTTCATCTATCTTTATGACACATTTTCTTATGTTTTTCTTATGTTTTTTTGTTCTTTGGCTATTTTTTCATTTAACTTTTTTTCTAATGGTTGAGTTGACATCGCTACGACTGATCAAGATGGTGTTTATCTGATATCTTGTGATCTTCCCTGATTTGAACCCTCAGATTGGATTTAGATACCCGATTTGTATTCGTGGATGGCTTTTCATGTAACATCCCAAAACAGGGCTAGTGACTAAATTGTAAATTTTGAAAACTTTGTGCTCAATTTTAAAATAAGTTAAAAGTTTAGGGACTTAAGTAGAGAATTTTTATGTTGGATTGATTGGCAAAATTGGAAAGATGAGAGGGTATAATGGTCATTACCTAAGGAAGATTTTTATTTTCCTTATTAAAAGGTGTTAACACGTGGAGTAAGAGGAAAAGAAAGAAAACTCTAGAGGCTTGGTCATCTTCTTCCTCTCGTAGCTTCAATAGTAAGGTATTGTTTCTTTAATTTTAAGGTTTCTTTTGATTCGTAGAGTGATAAGAAAGCTTAAAGGAAGTTTTAAATTATTTAAAACTCAAAGATGAACAAGTTATGGGAGATTAAGTAAAAGGATTTTTTAAGTGAATTATTGAAATAGAAGGAGTTAATGGATTTTTAAGTTGAATTTGACTTGTCATAAGATGAAATAAGAAATTCAAAAAATCGAATTATTGAAATAGAAGGAGTTAATGGAATTTTAAGTTGAATTTGACTTGTCATAAGATGAAATAAGAAATTCAAAGCGTTAGAAATGAATTTATTAGCTTGATTATTAAATTCAAGTGTGTATGTGGAATATTAGATGTTTGGATGAATTAAAGTTGTAGGTGCTCGTTTTAATCTGGGGCTAAGTCGGAACATACCCGAAGAAATGAGAGCCCAGATGAGCCCAAACCAGATGGAGGTCTATCTCAAGCCCGATGGATAGCAGCTGTATGCAAAAGATGAGAGAAATTGGTCAGTTTTTAGCAGTTAAAATTACTAGAGTGTAGGAAGGGGTCAGTTTTTTTCCTTAGTTTATAAAGGGGAGGGTCAGTTTTTTATTAGGGGGAATTGCCATAGGAATAAAGGGGAGGAGAACTGGAGAGCACAGGAAAAAAAACAAAAGAATCAGAGACCATTGAAAAGAAAACCAACGAAAAACACAGAAATAAAGGAAGAAGGCAACCAGAAACGAGGGAAGCAATAATCAGGGACTATCAGCTGAGAACTCTACTAGTCATTAACAATTTCACACTGTAAAAGAATACAAAGAGAAACGATAGTGTAACTTCATAATTCGAAACCAGAGAAAGTAAAAGAAATACGAGGAATTTCGAGGTATTCTTTTTGGGTATTCTTTTCGGTTTTTCTCTCTATATATATATCTCTTTTCGTGTACATTTGTGTTGTGTTACAATTAGAGGAAGTTAAACAATATTCTTTTAAAAAACAGAATCCATGTGAAGTAGTGCAAGCATCAAAAGTTTCTAAAGTTTTTTTATTTTCTTTCGGACCATAGACAACCTTTCTTCACATTTTTTTTGAAACCAAAGCAGAGATAGAGAAGATGAGTTATTGTTATTACCTTACCCGTTGGTTGAGCAGCGGTCGTCTGGTGCGTAGAAAGCCTTAGAGGTCGAAAGATGAGGAGGGTTGGTGAGAACGGCGTTGAAGAGAAAGTGAAGTCGAAATGCCAATTTGTGTCTGTAAAGAGTTTGTTTTTTGCGTTTTAGACCTTAGATTGGAGGTTAGCAAGGTGAGGCGAGAGTTGTGAGGGGTTCGAGATCATTGGTTTAGGTCATTGGACCACCGTTTACAGTGGTCGGGGTTAAGAGTTAAGGGCCACGGTCGGTTGTGAGTAGAGAGAATGGAGAGGGGCTGAGTGGTTTAGTTTGAGTTGAGTTTAGGTTTAGCTTATAGTTAGGTTTTATATATTAAATTTAGGGTAAATTGTTTTCATACCCTTAAACTTTGGCTGTGTGTTTTCGTTTTAGTCCCATATAGGGATTATTTTGTTTTATTGTTTAATTGTTCTATCTTGATTTCGTAAATATGCAATTTCTTGAACTTTATATTTTAGATTTGTGAAAATTAAAAAAAATCATACTTTAATCCCCTAGGATTTAGTTCTTATTTATAATTTAGTCACTTGTATAAGTTTGTTTTCTGATTTGAACTATTTTATTTGTCCTAATGCTATTATTTTCCAGATTTGTTTTTCTGTTTTATTGGTTTGGTCTAATTCTGCTAATGCTTTAGCTTTTATGTCTTAATCCCTTGTCTATTATTATTTAGCAGGGTTGATTTTAATTGCATGTTTATTTCTGTTTAATCCCTAATTAACTTAGTAATTATTCAATTTAATCTCTTGGTTCACCATTTTTGGGAATTTTTGTTTTTGACCTTAGACTTTGAGTGCATTATGTTTCAGTTTTATGTATCAGTTTATTTTTAATTTGTATAGTTGTCGCATGTTGCTTCCCGATGTTGTACCGATTTACATTCAGGCTTTATTGGCAGTTTGTGAACAACCAACTCTATATCTAAACCCGACATATCTTCGTATGACCAAGCAAACACATCCTTGTATTCTTGAAGCAATTCTATCAAATCATGTCGACCTCCAACTGACAGAGTGGTACCAATCTTTACTTCTCTCTTATCCTCATCTGTCCCCAAATTCAAAATCTCAGTAGGCTCTTTATGAGGCAGAATCTGCTTATCTTCACTCTCCACCATTTTCAGTAATTCAGAAGGTAGTTCACATCCCTCATCATTATCACAATCTTCTATTTCCCCTTGACATATACGCTTCTCGAAATCAATCTCCGGGTCAGAGTCATTAGCATTCATATTATTGATATCTGAGCTCCTGAAAAAATAATGAAAGAGAAGATATATATACATATATACATATGGGAGGATCTTTTCCCATATAAATAAATAGAAATAAATAAATACATACATATATACAACAAATAATGAATGAATGAAATGCATGGGAGAATGTTTGCC